ATGTCGCAAATCAACCACCTCTGATGTTCTCTGCCATCTGACTGCTGAGACTCTGTCCAAAACTCGCCCCCACCACTCGTCCTCGATGAGTTTGCTGCCCGGCAACTTCAACTTGGCGTTCATGTGGTGGAGGAACCTGAGCGAAACACGCCGAAGCCACGGCCGATTGGGTCTGGCGGTCGACTGGGACGAGTGAAGTGCTTGGTCGAGTCATACCGGTTTGTATTTTGGGGGACCGCCCCAACCAATGGACTTAGTCTGCTTTCTTGTTGCCAGAGGTCTTTAGGGGTCTCCCTCCCTACTAAAATACACACCCTGAATCGTCCAACTATGCAAAATGTCTGCCTCTTGGCGAATTTTATGGGTGAAAAGGCAGAAAGTGTGTGTGCAGTTGGAAGGTTCAGGTGATTCGCCAGATAGAAAATGCAGTGACATCATGGAGCTGGCCACAACATTCAGCAGCACCGCAAAACAAAAGAACTACTTTACTTCGAGTGACTTTCTGGCATGTATCGAAACATTATTTCGGCATTCTTTCTGGCATATCTTCTGGCACTCTTTCTGGCATATCTTCTGACATTCTTTCTGGCATGTCTTCTGGCATTCTTTCTGGCATATCTTCTGACATTCTTTCTGGCATATCTTCTGGCATTCTTTGTGGCACATCTTCTGACATTCTTTCTGACATTCTTTCTGGCATATCTTTTGACAGTCTTTTGGACCTTCTATCTGGCATATCTTCTGCATATCTGACATTCTTTCTGGCGTTCTATCTGGCATATCTTCTGACCCGCGGTTGAGATCCGGCGGGGAACACTGCCCGCCGAAGCTCGCGGTTGAGGTCCGGCGGGGAACACTGCCATCCAACACTCGTGGTTGAGGCGGCGGAGGAGGAGGAGGAGCAAGGCAGGTGACATAAAATCTAACAACCCTCACCTGACAGGTGGGGAAATATTATATATCAAAAAGATCTAGGAAAAAGGCGGCTTGTCCCCCGAACACCCCAGAGTTGATAGCTTTGTCTTCTTGTCATCTTCTCTGGGGGTCCGGAGGTTTGTTCTTGGCCACAGCTGTCACAAGTTGTGGCTTGCGCCGAAGCTGAAGGTCTTGGGGGACTGCTAGTAATCAATCAAACACCCCGGGTCATCGACACTTGCCCTCCGAAATCCTTTCTTCTTCTATTCTACCCTCAAAGGCGCCCCAGATCATCCCAACGCCCCGCCCCAACCGCCCCACCCATGCACCGCTGCCCGGAGCCCCGGCACCGCCGCCCCTAACTGCGCCGCGGCACCAAGCATCGGACACCAGACCACGTGGATAGCGACCTTCCTGCTCACGGTGAAGAGCTTCCGTTCTCAAGAGCCGACAAGAACACAAAGGATGGCCATTGAAGGCCAGGTGTGTACCGTGGTGGTTCACTCTTCAAGAAAGATGCGAGGTAAAAGGATGGGGTTCTTGGTGCCCTAAATGAAATCAAACAACTATGGCTTTGTGGTTAGGGTCATTGATTCTCGAGCACATGGGACTACTCCCAGGCATCAGACTACTCCATGCCGGTCGGGTTTCCGGCGAGCCAAAGGCTTCTTCCCGGTGTGGCAGAGGCTCAGCTCGGCTCGGCGGCTCGGCTCCTGCTGAAAGACCTTGCGCATCTCACGTGGTTCGCTGAGGATCACCGTCGGCTCATTCATGATGGAGCCCTGAGAGAATCCGAGGGGCTCCCGCGGGAGCGGTAAAGAGGGAGGTCCGCCTGGGAAAAAGAAGAAACAGAGATGGTGTCCGCATGGTTGGAAGAGTCAGGACATCTCCAAAATCAGGGATATATAACTGGATAACGTCATACTTCAAGACAGCCAAAAGATGTAGCTTCATCAACACCCCACTCGCAGTCACTTGTCGCTGTGCCGAGTGACGTTCCAAATGAGGCCATACTTCTCATAGCTCCTGAGCGGAGAAGTCAAACCGTCAAACCAGCAGCAAGGATCCTGATTTCCCTCCTGGTCTAGCTGTTGAATCTCTATTTTTGTCACACCTTGTACTTTCATGAACCCCTGCTGCTGCACTTTCAATCTCAACACACAAAAAGGGAGGGCTTTCTTGAATACCACAAGGAAAACAGAGGTGCGATATCCCACAGCCAAAGCGGTGTGCCACCTCGAACTGGGTCCGAGACTTCACCAGATTCCTTTTGGGCTTGGGCTCGCATCAGCCACAGAAGCAAAAGAAGTGTGCGAAAGCTTCCAAAGACTAGGAGACCCCAGCCAGTGCTATCTGCCTCGACCCCAGCGAAAAAAGATTGTACAAGCTAAAACATCAGCCATACACCAAACATAAACTACCTGCGTCATCCGAGCCAAAAGAAGAAAAAAGAGCAAAAGCACTGACCAACGAAGAAAACCACCTGCCATCCCACCTCAAAACCCACCACTTACCTCAAGCTTAGCATCGTGCGGTAGTACTCGTGGAGGCGGCTGAAACCATAGCTCATGAAGGCCGGAAGCGCACCAACCACTGGCCACTGCGGCCCTGGCATCTCCTCGAACGACGAGGTCCCCATGCGAGGTCCCCAGACCGAGGGAAGCCGCAGACCGAGGGGCTTCGGCCACCCGGCGACGATGGGCAGAGACCGAAGGCGCGAAGAATCCCCGAAGCCGACGAACCAAAGACATGTTGAAATAACTCTAAGAGAAGGGTAATCACTATGGTGCCTCAGAGAATGGTATAAACCAGGTACCCTCAAAACCATGGAAAATAGAGGTGTTCACATACAAAAACCAGTTTGTGTGTTTTGGTGCCAGGGAAAACCAGGCTTTTGATGGGGACACTGTGAGCCAGTGGCTGTGGCCAGTCTAGGCTCGGGGTTCGCCGTAAATCGCCTTGACCACGGCATCTGAGCGATGAACATGACCACTGCGACTGTCGGAGATAGAGATGGCAGTAGTGGGAAACTGGCACCAGGAAAACCAACTGGTTGACCTACCTAGGAGGTCAACCTACCAGGGAACATTAGGGCTCCGGGTTTTGACGCACAGCCAGATTACGCTTTGAAGAAGCCACGATGGCCCGGAGCCCAGTGGAATGCGGAGACATCCTCTCGTTGATCTTCTATCGTCATACATGCACATGATTCATCTGGAGGGTGTCTCGAACGCCTGTATATCACAGTGATCGTGAAATCATCCAAGAAACTCAGAAGTCAAACGCGTGTGGGTCAAAACCCGGGCACCCTGCTGAAACCCTGTGGATCGATACAAACCGATTCCTCCGTCTGTTCGGGATGTCAACCGAGCTCCCACGACTCACAGGAGTACCATGCCAAACGGGTGGGTCTTTGGATCATCCCATGGTGACAAGTCGGTTCGGCACCCGTCCCCTTCCTCCGCAAGTTGGTTCTGCACCAACAACTCCTTGGAACCGCTGGGTCATTCCAATTCGTCAACTGGAGTGTTCATCATTTAAGGGGCGGAGCCTGATGGGTCTCCCACCTGTTTCAACCGAGCTTGGTAGCCTCCCGATCAGCCGACCATCTCGACCCCGGATGTCGTTTCACCGCCGTCGCGAAAGGGTCTGACCCCAGTGAAGTGGACCCGGTCGCCTTTGCTTCGACACCGAGACACAGAGAAGGGCAGCGCCTTCACATTCTCAAAGCCCTTCTGCAGGCTCAACGCCGCGGACGCGGCAGCGGTCCGGCGGGTTCCGCTCACGGCCCTCATGGCGTTTTTGGGGGTCAAGGTGTTGATGAAGGATGCTTTCAGTGCTTGGCAAGCTTCGATGTTCTTGAGTATTTGAAGGTTGGACATGTTCCATGGAGTCAACCATGGTGTCGTTTTCTGCGCCACCAAGTCGATCTGTCTGGGCCCGAGGAGGACAAATCCTCTGCATCCGGCGCGGGGGTTCGGCAGATCCATTGTGCAACTGAACCCGGATCGATGGAGAAAAATGCCAGGAGTTGGTTCGGCGGGTCTCACTGAAACATGGCGTCTGAATGAAGTCCCTGATCAGTTCATCTAATTTACCACAGTGGAATGTGGTTGGGCACCCCAACTTCTTTTTGAACACCTGAACTGTAACCCCCCAAGAGTTGCTTTGCTTTGCTCCATGGGATTTCCGTCAGGTCCAAAAAAACTCGTCTTCGGTTCCAAGCTTCACCCTTCCCTACGACCTGGGATGCCATCCACCGGCAACTTCGAAAACTTGGGGGTCTCCTGGCTGGACCCCCCTACCGATCTCCATGTTTCACACCCCGAAATGAAGGTTCTGAGGATGCATATTGTTCTTTTATCATCTTTTCATCCATGACCCTAGGGATCCGGTCGTACCTAACCTCAGAAGGCACAACTGGACCCGACAATGGCACACAACATAACAGTGTCGAACACATCACCTTCTGACAAGATACTTGGACCCCTAGGGTGATCGCGTTGGCCTTGCCTTCATCCCTGGTGAAACTCGACCACCACAACTTGGATCCCCTAAGTTGCTGACTTGGTGCGCTTCATTCGACTCGCTCTCCCGGCGATGTGTGTTTTCACGTGGCTTCCAAAGAGTTATTCACCTAAAAAACATGGGGCCCATGTGCAGTTTTCAAGGACTTCCGCCATCTGGCTGAAATGTCCAAGTGCTCTATCTATATATATATATATATATGGGCACTGGTCGAAATCTCCCCCAAACCGACAGAAGAAACTCGGTCGTTTTGGACACTGAGGTCTTCTTCCACGCCAGCTGACCTTTTTGCTGGCCCCGCTGTCAACATCCAAATTTGAGGGCAAACTGCCCCCAAACTGCCCCCAAAAATCTATCTGAAAGAGAAAATTCAAGCGGACGGCTCAGGAGTGACTGCACGGCAACGTTCCACCGTGCGGAAAAAAATAACTTATAAATATGTTCCCCAAACCGTTGACGCAACAAATGAAAGTTTGGGGTCTATGCTGGTATCGTTGCACAGCAAGAGAAACGAGCACCAGCAAAACCCGGCGGCATGGCCATGAAAAAAAACGCTCCTTGTCGCCTGTGATCATCCCCAGGAAACAGGCATGGCCCACCTCGACTCAGCCGTTCTTTCGGTGGTGGTTTGGCCCGTCTCGGGAGGACATCCAAAAACCCACGGTGTGTCGAATGCCTTGATGCATCTCCTCTCTGCTTAGCTAACGGAAAGAATGGTCTCAAAACCCAGAGAAAGAAGTGCTTTTCACCAACAAGAGGACATGTGTTGGCCAAAAGAACCTCCATGCAAACCAGTGTTGAGTCAATTGGCAGCACGGAAATGTCCTGTTTGGGTCAGCCTAGGGGATCACATGTCATTATTCGCAACCTGCTGAAAGGTGGAGATGTGAGTAGGACCCTCTGAGAGGTTCTGGAACACCCTTGGAGTCTAGAGTGTACACCTGGCTGCCAGCAGCACGCTGACATCCAGACCAATTAGATAATTTGACTAGGTGACTAGCTGGTGATCAAACCGCCAACAGCTTCCTCTTCCTCTGTTTGAACTCCTGGCATCCAAGGTGTCGGCCAGCACTAGCACCGGGCAGGCATGCTCTTCCAACCTGGCCACTCTGGCTTCATCCCGGGAGGTGGATAAGAGGGAGAACCTCGAACCGGTCTCAGCTGATGGTTCCTCTCCTTAGGTGGTCTTTGAATGCCACCCATTGCGTTTGTCTTCGTTCGGGTCCCGCTTTCACCCAAGCCGGATCCTGCTGAGCTTCTGGAGCGTTCTGGGGATCCATTGGATCACACCGTGCCGTTCGGAGTCAGAGTACATCACAACCTTAGGGAGACCAATTCAATCCTCTGACCTTGTGCTTAGTAAGGAATGAGGGCATGGAATCTCTATTGAGAGCTCATTCCCTTATTCCCTACGAGTCGCACGAGTCAGTCCTGGAAGCCTGAAAGAGCTCGACATCAACCGTTGAGAGGGACAGCCCATGACAGCGCCACATGGCGTCCATACCAGGCACCAGCTCAGCTCAGCTCTAAAGACCGAATCTCAGACGACACCCTCAGACGGTATCTCTGGACACTGTCAGACACCTCTCCACCCGAACCCAAACCGGGTGGAGACGAACCCGGTTTAAGTCGTGGCCCACCAGTCTTTAAATAGCCTGAATCCCGAACAACCCATTGTTTTACTATAAACCAGATCATTCATGTTTAAACTGGTCGGACTTCCATGGCGAAGAACACTTTGAAGACACCCGTCCCCGTCCTTCAAGACCTCGAAAAGTGACGTGAACTGATGTGGGGTGATAGCAAGACCTCGATGTGGCGTGCGTTTCGGCATCCACCATCCACTCTTGGATGCATGGTTTGGAAAACAGAAGAAAAGGACTCTCTTGGGTTGCGCCACTCATCTCAAACCGTTGTAGGTGAATTGCAAACAAGGGCCTTAAGGGTGATTCTGGCCTTGCGAGACCTTGATGAAGAGCCTCCCTAGCCCCAACCTGGTTTCTTTCACCCCTGCAACCATCAAACAGGCCGCTGGACCATTGCGTGAAGCTTTCAGCCCTCTTCTGCAGCATCTCCTTGTTCTGCTTGGCCTCGGGGACGTCGTGTTGCGCTCCACTCGGCTCATCTGAGGGTGGGGTGTTTGCAGGTAAAATGATGGCTACACCGGGTGCAGCTCCATGCCGAACATCGGATTTTACAGCCCAAACATCGGATTCCACATACCTTCCAAACACTAACCTGACGACCACTTTTTGGAATGAATCATGCCCAGGATAAACCCCGCATCAACAGCACAAATCCAACAACCAATGAGGTGCCGCGTCCGTATTTCACCACGAAATCACCCGGGTGCCTTGCAAAACTGGCCAAACAGTAATGTGCAAAATCCGAGAACAAGACATCGAATGGATAGCCCTGGGTTTTGGTCCACAAGTTGCAAAAAGGTTCGATCTGCTCGAGTTGAAAAGCTGTAGAACACCGTTGAATCGACCCAAATCCTAAACCTTCACATCAATGTTCAGGAAACAGACCTTGGACAACATGAAAAAACCAGCGCATAAAGGTCTGGATACAAAGCCACAAAAAATGAAGCCAACCCACCCAAATTGGATAGACATGGTAGGAGGGGTCTTTAAACCACCCTTTGGACGGTGATGGAGTAGTGTTCTTGCTCTCTCTAATTCAGGAGTATAGTTAAAAACCGAGATTGGATACCACTGGTGGGTGTAAAGTCCATTTCATCCATCGGACAATGCAGCAAACTGCTTCCTCATCCGATTTGCTGTGTCGGAACCATCCGCCAAACCGGGGTGACCACCCGACTCTTGGGAAGGTGGTTCCGCTCTTTCAGCGGTGAGGGCGATGGCCTTGCGGGGTCTAATCAACCTCCCAAGTGATGGCCAGGTGACGTTCCAGCTATCATCTCTCAGGTCAAGGCTTCGACACCTGCAGACGAGTGACATGGGCGATTTCTCATCCCCAAACTCTGAGAACCAGCAGTCACATGTCGGGGTGCGATCCATGGAGGTTAGGGGTGCCCAGAACATCCACTCACGTAAGGGGACCAAACACCACCCCGAGCTCTGTGACTCCTGGAAGTCTTACCCCTTTCAAAAGTAGGATGAGATTCTGGCCCGTGCACACTGGAAGGTCCTCGCAAGCAAGGTGACCTTCGGTTCTTCGGCTCGCCCAACCCGAAAGCAAAAAGTGATAACCACCGACCGGTTGGAGGGCTAAGACTCGTCAACTCCAGTCCAAAACCACCAGGGTGTTGAAATGTGTTTGCTCTTTGGCAGAGGTCCGGAGGGGACATCTCTCCAAGGCTATAGGAGATTGATCCACCTCGATCTAAGTCGTATGCAGTATGCATCAAGAACGAGTGATTTGGAACCGTGAGACTGCGCATGCGCCAATGTTTCATCAGCGAAGAATCACTGCACGTACAGGGCTCATGGGCTGAAGAACACTTCGCTGGAGACGGGTGGTGAAATCACCACAGAAGCGCTGTTTGGAGAAGGCTCGGCCCAAACGACCTTGTTTTCGGATCTTGAACCAACACCCAGCCTCTAGTCCCCGAAAGCCAACACAGGGTATCAAACCCAAACAGGACCAAGTTCACTCTACACAGCTTCATAACATGTCATACCCAAACTTGGAGGTCCTCCATAAATATATATAAGGATATACCTGAACCCTCTAAGGGGTGTCCAATGGACTACCCCACACTACCTATAGGATTCCATTGGGCACCCCTTGGAGAGTCCTGGTATACTGTATCCGTTCGCATGCACCGCTTCGGGAAGTGCCCCGGCGGCTCTTTTTCGCCGCTGCTTTGGCCGCTCAGCGGCGCTTTCCAAGCACTGCAGGGCCCAGGCAGCCCGCGGCTTCTTCTTCGCCGCCTCGGTTTGGCTTCGATCCCCCACCTAAACCGGGGCTTCTGGTCGGTCTTGGCGTCTGGGCGTGGAGTGCTTTTGAGATGTCAAACATGTGAAGGATCATATAGAAAGAACTTCAAATCTGCTCAAGTCCAGTTGTGTCAGACTGCTTTGGACCAGTCCAAGCTTAGCCTGCAATCCCTGACTCTTGGGTCTAGGACGACAAGTTCGGACTGGGCGCCCCCCAAACGCTCCACAGGCCGAGCCGTTCTCCCGGTCCCAAACGGAAGGTCCGAGGGTCCGGGTCCGGTCAGTCTGGGTGGTGAAACAGCTTCATGCGCGTACTGCGGGCTGATCCACCCAGACCGATCGACGGGCCATGCAGGTTTTTTCGGGGGGGTCAACCTGATTGAGCTCCATTGACGTCTCAAATTGAAGATGTCAATGTGGCGCTGGGTCCTGTCCCTCCTTCAGAAGGCTCGAATTTTCTGTCCATCTTGTCAGGTGGTGCATCGGAAGCCCCACACCGAGAACCAGTTCCCAATGAATTCCTGAAAACCATTGAAAACCCATGAATGCCCCATGATAAAATCTGAAGTTCCTAGACTTGGAGATCTTGCACCGAGGTCCAGAGTGGACCCCAACGCCCGTTGGTTTTTCCCCGGCACGGCTCAGCGGACCTGCGCAGCCCGCATGGCGGGGCGTCTCTGTGTGCTCCTGAGCGAAGCCAAGCACGCACGGCGGACGAATGATACTTTTGGTGTGGATGCTAGCATCTACAAGGAGTCTGAATTCGTGCCTCCGAAAACGGGTACAAGTACCAGTTTAGTTCGTATGCCAACAGCTGAGCACGTTGACAAAGAAGGGTCGCCTCTGTGCAATAGGCCCTAATGGCTGCCGCTGAGGGTTCTTCCAGGAGTTGCACAGGCAGAAAGGGGATGGCTTTTAGTCCCATCACAAGGGACTTTTCCCTTGAACCTCTCCAAGTTCGGCACCCCGAAATGGAACTGCTGGCAAGACTGATTGAAAAATTATGTGGTTAACCCATGTAAACCCAATTGGATACACTTTCTATACTCCAACAATGCAAATAAATATCCTGTTTGGACTTCTTTGGGGGTACCTGCCTGGTCAGACCCCCGCATCTTTGCTTTGACCTTCGCCTTAGTGCTCTTTGACTCAATCTTGGAAAATCTTGAAAAAGATTGTCTTTGAACCCTCGACCCGCATCCGACTCGCCCAACACCTCGAGGTCGGCATCTGCCAAGCAAATCATGCAAGTGCTGCAGCAAAACACGGCTCCAGACCAGAAGCAACATGCAACATGCTCGTTGCTCAACGCGAAGCTGCTCAACCGGCTGACTGCCCTCGACTCGCTCACAGTGCCTTCAGCAAGGCTTGCCGTGAAGTGCTGACCAGCGCGCGCGCCCAAGTGCTGGCGACCTTGGAGGCTCGGGAGGCTCCTGGCCCACCTCCTGAGAAGGTGGACTGGGGTGGGGGTTGAGAGGTCTACCTTCTGAGAAGGTTGGAGCCCCAGGGTGTATACCTCACCCAGAGGATCCAAGAAATTCCACTAGGAACATCCAGGAACCATGACGTTCGGGTCACCGATCCCACCAAGGTCGTGGGATTTTGGGGAGCGTCTGGGTCGTGTGATTGGAAGCTGCTATCTCACTATAGTGCTGATTGCCATTGGGGTCTTTTCTGAAAAACACACATACCAGCATAGACTCGAAACAGGTGTTTGGCCGGCCCAGCACTTTGAGAACCCTTAAAAGGTGATTGAATACCCCAACTACGACTGATCAAAACTCTTTAAGTCGGACTGCACTTCGACCTCCACAGCCGGACTCCGATCATATCACGCCGCAGATCGGACCACGCCGCAGATCAAAACCCCACCTCTACACCCTCAGGAGGTCTCATCAACCCCGAAGCGGGTTCAGTCTCAGGTCTCAGTTCGACGAAAGCATGGTCTCAGCTGAGTTCCCTCAAGGTCTCAGCATGGTCTCAGCTGGGTTCCCAGACATGTCTCAGCATGAGCTAGTTCCCTCAAGTTGTCAGGAAATGTCCGATCAGCTCATCTGGTAAAGAGCATGGCTGGGTCAGCTCGTCGACTCGCTGTCCGCAGATCGATGGCGTATCATCATCAACCGGACCGCACCGGTTGATCTCATGGCCAGCACCGTGCGCCCAGTCTGACACATTCGGCTCATGGCGCCCAAGGCACAAAGCCCATGAGCAAAGCGCTCGCCAACAAGGTCAAAAGCACCAGGACCAGCAGTGCCAGCACCTGCTGTCGTTCAAGGCGTTCGGCCGACCGGTCCACAGGTCATCGTCGGGCTTTATCGGCGGCGGAGACTCCATCTCAAGGCAGGCGGTGAGACAGAGAAGAGCTGGGAGTGCGATCTCCATGACTTGTTTGGACGGATTTGCATACACATCGAAGCATCGAACGTTTGCATCCAAGGACATCCCTTCGAAGGTGGGATCCCGAAGGGGAAGCAGACATCAAGAAGATCAAGTCCGTCCACCTCCGGTTTGGAGGTCAAGTTTGGGCATGTGGGAGCTGATCAGCTTTGGAAAACCTCTCACTCGCTACGTGATTATCTTGACTGACTTGTCAACCACCATTCCTCCTAACATGTGAATGTTCACATCTGAGGGCAATCTGGGCATTGAAATGGACAGGAAAAACCTCACCAAAAACAACCACATCTGACTCCCTCATGTTCCCCAAATCAAGCTCAACTGAACTGTCCACTTCTTTTCTGGGAGTGTCCCCCCAAATCCACATCATCCACTCACTGGGCTGGACCAATCCACCGAAGGGAAAATGTCAAACCCTTCCTTTTCAGCCGCTTCCACGAGGGAGGTCCGTCCACACGGGCCTTCCACACGGGCACCTGCTGTGCGGCACGCTGTGCAGCATGAGGAAAGCGGCCAAAGGCCATCCCTGCGGAGGGTGGGGACTCCATCTCCGGCGGAAACCGGGGTCAATCAGGTTCTAGGATGTTGTAGGTATATCATTGACCTCACATGTTGACGCTTGTGCGATCACCAGCACCACATGTTGTGATGTGTCTCGAAAACGAGTCCAAGGTCGGAATTCCAGTCTTTTCTTCCCAGGGTCCGTCACCCAGAAACCATCGAACGACTCGCCCAGCGTGGCGTTCGTGGCGTCTTCGCTTCGCCCTGTTGCGGCGTTCGTCTGAACGGAAGCTGCCGATGGTTCGCTATTGAGGGCACCGAAATTCAGCTCGGTGGGCTCCCAGACCAGGCCACGAACTTGGAGGAAGCTGCCCAAAAAGGTTACTGAAAGTAAGTTCTGTTGAAAAGCTGCCTGGAAACCCCAACAATGACATCGTGGTATAGAAAGGGATCTCGGCCATGTTGGCTTTAAACCATTTGCTTCTGCTTGGGACTGCACCTGTTTGTTGCCTCTCAGCACCATGGGTTTTCCACCCGAACAGCCAGGTCCAAGACCGTGCCAGTTCTCGGCGCCTTCGCACCGGAGACACCGGAGACGTGACATCCACCGGAGAGCGAGCACGGACACCGGTCGGTCGGTCGGTCAGTCTACGGGGATCACCTGACTGTAGGGAGTCTAATAAGCTAACAGCATACAGTGTACATCTGGACTCTGGACAAGTGGGTGAAAAGGTGGGGTGAAAACCCATCGACTCTCACCTTCTAAAATCAAGAGGTTAGCGTCTCCGAAGGTTGTGAGGTGAGCACGACCTTGGCGACTCCCTGAGGTTGAAAGAGCGCCAGTGGTGTAGATTGCCTAGGGCTCGTGTCCCATATCCTCAGGTTCGGTGGTTAGACCCCGCTGGCACCCACCCCTGCCCCATCTTCGAAACGGAGGTGGGCCAGGAGCCATTCTACAGAACCGTGATGGAATCTTCTGATTGTGGAGAGCAGAAAGACCAACTTATTGACCACTCACAAGGGGGAAGGGGCGGTTTGGGCAAGGCGCCCCTTTCTTGGCAGGTCGACCCGGCCCAGACCTCGCACCGAACGGTCGTTCGCAGACCTCCATGCACTCCGTGGCGCCCGTTCCTGGGAAGA